TGCTTGCATGTATGTAGGTGTACCACATGCGTACAATGCCCACGGAGGTCAGAAGAGGGCACTGGATCCCTTGGAACTGGAGTTACAGGGGGTTGTTAGACAATGTGTAGGTGCCGGGAACTGAACCAGCATCCTTTGGGAGAGCAGCCACGGTTCTTAACCCCTGAGCCAACTCTACAGCTCCTCAGCTTCCTTTCTTATATAGCCCGGGGATGGCACCACCTACAGTGGGTTGGGCCCTCCTACATCAATCAAGGATTAAGAAAATTTCTTACAGGTCAATGTGATGAAGAAACTCATCAATCGAAGTTCCTTCTGTCCAGGTGACTCTGTGTCAAGTTGACAAAAACAAACCAGCACACTCATGTATCATGAACCTCACATACAAGAGGTATAATTCAGTAGTTTTTAGTATTTCTACAGGTTGTGTCACTGTCACCTGTAGCAAACTCTGAAGCTGTTAGCTGCCATCTCCATCCTTCCTACCAACCCTGATCAACCACTAATCTTTCTGTCTCAACCACTGAACATCTATGCGGGGGAAGGAGGAGGAAGAGCAGAGATCATTCGAAAGAGAGCTATGCTAAACCTCACACCTCAGACAAAATTAGTGTTGCATTAACTCTTTCATGGGAAGACACAAATGTTTCCCTTCAAATGGTTCACCGACAACAAACCATCAAAGTCCAACTTGAAGAACCAATGAGTTTCTTGGGCTTACTTTACTTGACATAGTGAGGATTACCCCCCAAACAGCAACACCACTGGAATGTCTCACCCCAGTATGGACGACTTCTCTATAACTCCATAGAGTCTCTCCTTCTGTTACCCTTCCACACACTATATACATGAGCACTTGCTAAGACCAGGAGGCCATGTGCAATAATGGTAGAGTCATGTACATACAGCTGGAGATGCTGGAGGAAGGGGTTGAAATCTCAGGAAATGGCCAAGGATCCTCCCCACCCTCTCTTGCTATGGGGAAACATCAACTGTCAACGGGCTCAATCTTTAAAAAAAAAAAAGATTTAAGCATGGTGTGGTGGTGCATGCCTTTAGTCCCAGCACTTGGGAGGCAGAAGCAGGCAGATCTTTGTGAGTTCAAGGCCAGCCTAGTCTACATAGTGAGTTCCAGGCCATCTGGTGCTACAGGGAAACCCTGTCTCAAAAAAAGCCCCCTCTAAAAGATTTATATGTGTATATGTGTATATATATGTGTAGGCATCTGTATGTGTGTGTGTGTGTGTGTGTGTGTGTGCATGTGTGTGTGGGTACTCGTGGAAGCCAGAAAAGGGTGTTGGATCCCCTGGAACTGGCGTTACAGGTGGTTAGTGTATGTGAGAAAAATATTCTTTTTTTAATTTTATGCCTACATGTATGTAGGTGACCACGTGTGTAGTGTCTGTGGCAGCCAGAAGAGGGCATTGGGTGCCCTGGAATTGGAGCTGCAGATGGCTGTTGACTGCCATGTAGGTGCTAAGAACCAGACCAAGGTCTTCTGCAAGAATATCAAGTGACCTTAAGCACTCTCCACCCCTTCAGGGGCCCAATCTTCAGGCTCGCTTGTGAGTAGTCACAGGTGTTCTGATGAAGATAATGTCTGTTATGCTCAGAGGATTTCACTCTGCAACAATTAGTCAAGGATCTCTAGTCAAGCTGGGCTGGTGCTGCATGCCTTTAATCACAGTACTTGGGAGACAGAGGCAGGCCAGTCTCAGTTCCAGACCAGTCTGGGCCTGTCTTAAAATACAAAACAAAAAACGGAGAGGAAAAAAGTAAATCTTCACAAATTATTCTATGAAACTTGGAAATGCTAGGCAGACATTGTCCCCTGATTTTCCCTTTACCAAAGATAAATGGGGAGCTATATGCAAATATAACTTTGATTTACTTAGTGAAAACTTCAAGGCTTTATTTGCAACTTCTGCCTATGGAAAAAATACATGAAATCATGGCTGACAATGAAAAATGTCACCATCTAACTTCTTAAAGGTAAAGATGTCCAATCTCTTCATGTATTTGTTTTTTAAGACAGGGTCTCCCTGTAGCCAGGCTTGCCTGGAACTCATTGTGTAGACCAGGCTGGTTTCAGTCTCACAGAGATCCGCCTGCCTCTGCCTCCCAAGTGCTGGAATTAAAGGTGTGTGCCACCACATCTGGTCATGTCTTCTCCTCCGTGTGTGTGTGTGTGTGTGTGTGTGTGTGTGTGTGCGCGCGCGCACGTGTGTGTAACCCACTGAGTCCAATTAGTGCTAACCTGCTGGAATGTTGATTGAACTTGTTAGATTGCTCCTGCAAAGGTGACCACAGCTGCCATGAGTTCATGAGTACAACAGTCAAGTCTTGTCCAGAAGACAACATTTCACAGCGCTCCTCCCCATCCTCTGGCTGTTAATTCTTTCCACCCCCTCTTCCATGATGTTCCCCTAACCTTGGGGAGATTAAATAAGATCTCTACATTGAGCATAGAAAGCATAATTTCAAATTTTAAACACACAACCAGCTAAAATTTTTGTGGATGTATTCTTTTACGGTCTTCCAATATTGGAGTCAACTGTATTAATGTGCAATGTAACCATTTTGTTCTTCCTTTAAAAATAGCCCAGAGTGGTTCACATTTCATTCTACCATTGTCATTTCAAAAACATTAGCTTCAAATTGATGTTCTGTTACTTATTTAAACATTTTCTACTTGTAGACAGACATAGTGGCCTCTTAGCTTTATTACAGTATTTCACTTAAGATCTTGGTGAATATAATTGCATTTTCTCTGGTTACTTCTCAGTTCATACAATGGCTGTCATTAGTAACCTTGGTGAGACAATGGAATATTGACGTAAGTACAGTGAAATTCTAAAGGAAATGAGAAGAGAGAAATTAATGGTAGTTTGGACTAGCAATGAATTTGTGAGGTATTTTCAAAGACAGTTGGAGAATAGAAACAGGGTATAACTGAGCAATCTTGTTAAATATTGTTTTTTAAATATTTTATTCATTTTTAATTTTTTATGTGTATGATTTTTTTGCCTGTATGCATGTAAGTGCACTGTGTCATGCAATGCCCATGGAGGTCAGAAGAGGAGGTCAGAGCCCCTGGAACTGGAGTTTCAGACAGTTGTTAGCTGCCATATGGGAGCCCAACTCAGGTCCTCTGCAAGAGCAGTCAGTGCTCTTAACCACTTGTAGAGAACTGAACCTCAAATATTCTGAGAGTTACAATCCATAAACATGGTCTTTGAGGTCTTTTAGATCTTCTTTTATCACCATTTTGTAGCTTTCAGTGTACAGATCCTACCCATGATTGGCTACATTAATGCCTGGGGATTGATGGATGGATTGATGATTGCCTGATTGCTTTGTGGTTTGGGGGACCCAGGGCTTTCTCCATGCTAGGTAATCTTTCTACCACCAAGCTACATCTCCAGCCTTTAGTTTTTTGAGATAGAGACTTGCCCAAGATGGTCTCAACTTGTAATCCTCCTGCCTCCTCCTTCCAAATGTTGGGATTACAGGTGTCTTCCACCACGTGTCTAGTGCTTTCTTTGGGTGAACACAAATGGAGTTTTGAAATTTCACACGTGATTTTTTTTTAGTGCAGAGAAATGTGGTAAAGTTTTGATGAACTCATGACACCCTGCTGTTCTCATTTATAAGTTCTAGGAGTATTTGTGTGCTTGGGTCTTTGTAGATTTCCTGAGATTAAAAAATTAAGATTTTATTTTTGTGTGTCTATGTGTGAGTGTGTGCACATGTGTGCAGGTGACAATGGAGGCCAGAAGAGGGTATGAAATTTATGGAGCTGGAGTTACAGGCAGTTGTGAACTGTCAAATTCAGTGCTGGGAATCAAACTCTGGTCCTCTGCAAAAGCAGCAAGCACTCAAACACTGAGACGTCTCTCCAGTCCTGATTTCTTGAGATTTTTCTATTGGGAAAATTATATTATCTGCAAAAAGAAACTATTTTATTTACCTTCTGATGTGTAAATTGCCTTGTCAATTTTAGGGGCAAACATTGTCTCTCACTATTAGATGTAGGAGGGCAGAAAAAAGGAGTGAAAAGTTTAGAAATAAGAGTCAGAGCCAGACCTGCAACAGGCAAAGAATGTGCTCCCTGGATTCGGGAAACCCAGGAAAGGGCTGACAGCTGTTCCTCGAGGAATGACTATCTGAGCCCTGAAGAGGGAGCAGTCTGAACTTATATAGGAAATCGGCTACACACAGCTGCAAGAGTTAACTCCATGCCAGGGTCTGGTGTCCTCAGGGTCTCTTTACTGAAGATTATTTGCCCAGGCAAACAGGTGAGTTATCAATAACCCTAAAGGAGACAGGTGGGCTCTACAAAGTCTCTCTCAGTTCAGGGAGTGACCAGTTCATAAGGCTTAAGTAAGGCCAGACTTGAGCAAGGCTAGGCTGCCAGTTTAGTGCCAGTTAGACACTTTAAGGGATTTATGGCTTAGGGAAATGAGGCTTGTAGCTCTTCTGCAATTCACATATTCTATTACTCACCATGAAGTATATCGTCATGTGTAGATCTATATATGGAAAGCTTTGAAGTCACATTTTCACATACACAAGAATGTATGTGAATATCCACCGTTAAAGGGTCCCGGTCACACACTCGACAAACCACGCAGAATCAAAACCAAACGGCCCACAAGGTGACAAGTCACCCCTTAGACAAGACAGCCGCTACCGCTCTCAGCCAGGGAGACTCACTGCACATATCTTCGGAGAACAACGGTATTGGAACACCCACCCACGTCCCGGCACACAGGCTGGCCCTATAGCACCCACAAAACATCGCAAGATCCTGCTTCAGGGGGCTTGGCATTCAGCTGCACGCCTAGAGACTACATTTCCCAAAAAGGACTGCGGCTTGGGCCCCAATCCTGAGCCGGCACCACAGGTGCCACGGCGCCTGCGCCACCTTCCGGCAGTGGGCGGTGAGTCCGCTGGTACCCTGCGGAAACCGGTTCTGGGGCGTAGGGCGCGAATGTGGTGGCTCCTGGAGGAAACAGGTGAGGGAGTCCAGAGCTTCCCAGAAGCTCGGCTGTGGGTACGGGCTGGCGCTGTGGATCGAGAGTCTCTGGCCTCGGACGAATTTCGACGCCAGGCTCCACCATTGGCCTTCCGGCAGTGGGCGGTGAGTCCGCTGGTACCCTGCGGAAACCGGTTCTGGGGCGTAGGGCGCGAATGTGGTGGCTCCTGGAGGAAACAGGTGAGGGAGTCCAGAGCTTCCCAGAAGCTCGGCTGTGGGTACGGGCTGGCGCTGTGGATCGAGAGTCTCTGGCCTCGGACGAATTTCGACGCCAGGCTCCACCATTGGTCTGAGGCTTTTTGGCCCTGGACTACATTCCCCGTGGGTCCTACTGGACTTCAGAGCGGGAGTAGGGCAGGGTCTTCCACCCGCTAAAGTCAAGAATGCCTTATCTGTACTTTTGTTTAACATGGGATGAAGTCTTGTTTTATTATATATATATATTGAAGCAGAATTAGTTTATTTATTGGAATAGATTTAGGCACAGAAGTTGATAGGCTCTTTATTGACAAAGAATAAGACATACCCAAATGTGAGGAGTATGGACGTCTCAAGGGAGAGTCACTGAAGTCTTGTTTATAAGGTCTTCTAGGAATTGCAGAACCCCCAAAACATTTGGAACTGCTAGTTTAGAAGCAGCACTTAAGAACCCTTAAATGCTCTTTAGGTCCTGTGCCCAGTAGGAGGGAAACCGTTCAGTAATTCAGGCTACCTGTGCAATAGCATGTACCGTTAATAAGATAGTGCTTATATAGGTACTTATAATAAGGGAAAATTTCCTATGACATTATGCCAAGTAACTTCCATAATTATTTTCTTTATGTTAGACTGAAATATTTGTAATGTGACAGGCATTCCTTTTACTTCTTTACAAAGTATTTGTTTAATGATGAACTCAAAAAATGGTTAAATGACAGCACTCTAAATGCTTGGGTTTTTAACATTTACTTGGGGGAGGCATGTGTGTGTTGTGGGCACTCGTATGTAGGTCAATGGACAGTTTTTAGGAGCAGGGGTCTCTCCACTTTGAGAATCAGATTCAGGTTGACAAACTTGGCAGCAAGCCTTTACCTGCTGAGCCCCCTGCCCCCCAGATGTTTTTCTGTTCTATTTTTTTGTTTTGTTTTAAACACATATATCAGTGAGTTGGTGGTTTGACTTTTTGCTTCTCATAATAATTGTACAAAGGATCCAGTTGGGAATAACTTTGTTAACTAATGTCCCATGTCCCCCACCCCCATTTTTAGAAAGGGTCCCACTGTGTAGCCCTGGCTGGCCTGGTACTAACTGTGTAGATCTGGCTGGTCTGGTACTTACTATATAGATCAGGCTGGCCTCAGACGTACAGAGATCCACCTGCCTCTGCCTGTCAAGTTCTGGGATTAAAGGCATGCATTACCACACCTGGCCCTCAATATAATTTTTAAAACATTTATTTTAATTATGTCTATGTGTTTGTGTCTGTATGTGGCTATGTGCATGTGAATGCAGTTGCCTGGAGAGGCCAGAAGAGGGCGTCTGAATCCCCTGGAGCTGGAGTTACAGGAAACTGGATGTTGGGATCTAACTCCTCCCTTTGTTAGCAGGAGGAGCAAGTGCTATTAACCTCTGAGCCATCTCTTCAGCCCCTTGATATCACGTTTGATAGTTAGCTGTCATTCCTTTGTATAGCTGTGCCAACAGTAATTCAGCCTCTTACCTACTTGTGGACTTGCCTATTCATGTGCTAATTTTGTATTCTTTTATTCAGCACATAATTGTGTGTGGTTTCACACACTGCTTTGTCTCTGTGGAAGGGTATATTTATGTACTGATGATGGAGTCCTGGACCCGCTTCATCTAATTTGTCAGATTGTCCTCTGCAAATTCACCCAATTTCTTGTCTCAAGGTAGGACCATGAGGTACTGATCACAAAGCCTCAAATTGGGCTGTGGCATTCTTCATAAATTTTGAAGTTGGAGAAACAACCAGGGAAGACTTTAGAGGCTGTTAAATTTGATGCATGAGAGAATTAAATGTCTGAGATCTGGGAATGCTTTGTTTTGGGCTGGGACTGTGTATGCTACGCAGGCTCTCTGCACTTCCTGGGTGAGAACTTTCCTTGTCCTCAAGATTCCACGTGGGAATCACTGCAAGATAGTCACTGCAAGACGTCTGAAGATCTCTATCTCAGATTTGCATCACCTCCAGTATTTCATGGAAATGGGAGAGAAAGGACCAGTAGTTGTATATCTCCTTGGCAGAAGCTGGAACTGGCTTCCTGGTATTGGGTGAAGGTGGCAGTTTGTCCTGGCTCTCTATAAGTTAAAGGGCAGGTGGAGAGAAACAGGTGGGGACTTGTAACCTGAGCATGTAGGGAACTGTGAGGCAAGCTTACACCCTCATGTTTGCTCTTTCCTCTCTTAGCTTTGACAGCTAAGAATCTGACCTTCCCCAAGAGGGAAGCCTGGAGGAAGACCCATCAGCCCTGGAAATCCTGAAAGTCATGTCCCTCGTGAGTTTCAAAATCATGGAAATGTTTGTTTGCCTAAACTTCCCACCTTGGTTCCATCAGTTAATCTAATTTGCCAAGATCCCAATTTTAGGGAGCAAAAGAGCTACCCAAGGCTGGGGCATGGTGGTGCACACCTTTAATCCCAGCACTCGGGAGGTAGAGGCAGGTAGATCTCTGTGAGTTCAAGGCCAGCCTGGTCTACATAGAGAGTTCCAGGCCAGCTGGGGCTACAGGGAGACCCTGTCTCAAAAATACAAAAAGAAAAAAAAGAGCTACCCAGCTGACCCCTTTTTTATTTTTCCCTCTCTCTGACAAATGGCCCATAAATTCATTCCATAGCAAAATTTTCTAAGCATCAATTCATTTCCTTAGATAAAATGAGAACATTCCTTGTAGGAACTAAACTTTGAAGAGAGTAAGCGATCACAGGCAGAAAAATGGGGAAGTGATGTTGGTTGGTCAGTTTTAGCATGTGGTTCACCCTGCTTTGGAAGAGATGACAGTTGGGTGTCATAGAGACTTAGCTGGGAATCCATGAGATCAGATGCCAGAATGAAGATGGAATTTAAGGTTACACAGAAGCTGGGGCATTCTCCATGATCTTTGGCTTAAGAAGAAAACTGCAGAGCTGAGGGTAGTGGGTAGAACAAGTGAGATGATCAGGTTGTAGGTGGATTCTCAGAATTTAGAAGAGCTTTAGAGAGCAGATCCATGCTCTGGATCCAAAATATGAGGATGTGAGAGTCATTCTTTAAACTTAGGAAGTTATACAGTCAACAAAAGAGATCTTCATTTGTTTCATGAAGAAAATGCCTCAGACGCAGAGGCAGGTAGATCTCTGAGTCCGAGACTAGCCTGGTCTAAATAGTGAGTTCCCGGCTAGCCAGGGATACATAGTGAGACCCTGCCTCAAGATACAGCAAACAATATTTAGGAGGAAGTCCACATTATATTCTTTGTTGTTTTGTAAAATAGAAATAGTTCCTACCTTAATTGAGAATTTACTATATACATGTTCTAGTACACTGTTTGTTGCAATAAGGAAAACTCAATTTAGCTTTTTATTTTTCATTGTAGACCTACACACAAGAATTGGTTTGCAGCAAAGTGGACTGCAGGAGACCATTTAACACTGTCTTCCTCCTGCTCATTTTCGGTTGACAACTAGCCGTGTTTTGTTTTAGTCTTTTTGAGACAGGGTCTCCCTGTAGCCTCAGCTGACCTAGAACTCACTATGTAGACCAGGCTGGCCTCAATCTCACAGAGACCTGCCTGCCTCTGCCTCCCACGTGCTGGGATTAAAGGCATAAGCCATCATGCCTGGCAGCCCCCGCTCTTTTATTCAAAAGAATAACCCATTCATGCCTCTTGTTCCAGGGTTCCGAACTGTTCAGGGATGTGGCCATAATTTTCTCCCGAGAAGAATGGGAGTATCTGGAGCCTGTTCAGCGGGACTTGTACAGAGATGTGATGTTGGAGAACTACAGCCACCTGGTTTCTCTGGGTAAATGATCTGGTCTGTTAGTTTGCAGTTTACCTTGGGCACGTGCCTTCCTGGTTAATCCTGGGTGCCTTTCAGTTCTGTGACTGGTATGTAATAGGCAGCTAATCGGTTGAAGCCATCTTCCTCTCCCCTCAGGCCGCTCTTTGGTCTTCTCTGGCCCTTCCTGCAGCTGCATCCCTGTTTACTGACGGAGCCCCAGATCCGAATTCTGAGGCCCCTACACCATGACCATGTGATTTGTTTTTTTCTCCAGGTCTTGCCATATCCAAACCTGATGTGATATCTACCCTGGAGCAAGGAAATGAGCCCTGGATAGCAGAGGGGGGCTTGACAGGAGGCCTGTGTGTGGGTAAGTGAGCGCTCAGTGGAAAGATAGCAGTCCCTGTTGGGGAGGTCATCTGCTCATCTGGTAGGAAAACCAGTGTGTCACACATCGCCCTTCCAGCTGCTGGGAGGCTGTGCCCTTGTTGTCTTGGTTGGCCTCAGCTTCTCAGGACTTGCCCCTTCTTCCCTGGAACATTCTTTTCATTCAACGTGCATTTGGGGATAGGGGGAATACAAATGTGATGCTTTGTCAGGAAAGTATTTTCTGTACAGAAAGCATTGACTCCTTTTCTACAGGAATTTGCTTTGGTCAGTTGAACTTGGAAGTAAGTATTGTTGATCTTTTATTGTGTACCTTGGAGTAAGCCACAGTGTACATGAGTAAGGCAGGCAGACACTAGCTGTCTTCATAGGACTTCTACTGTAGAGGGAATTAGGTGTTAGCATCACATGTGCAAACGTGCACATATGTGAACAGAAAAGAACAGGTTCTGTTAAGATTGTACAGTAGGGCTGCTGGCTTCGTCAAGAAAAAGACATTTTTCCTGAGACATGGAAGTGTAGTCAAAGTTGGAGAAACACAAGAAATATAAGGGCATACTGCAAAAGAGAGATTTGATGAGCAGAAGGTTAGTGTTGTGGTAAATATTTTCATATATTAAAGACTCTAATTTTATTGGTGTATATTTTTATTGAATTTTGTGCATTACTTAGATCTTAATCATATTTAGACCCCTCCCCCATTGATGCCCCCACATACCACCCCCCCACTGGACCTCATGCATCCCGTCATACATGTTAAGTCCTCTCTGGTCAGGCATTTGTACTCAGATGTCCCTGTGTGCAAGTTCATCCACTGATGTCTAGTCAGCCCATGTAGAGATTTTAAGGAAGGTCTACTCTCCCTCACCCAGCAGTCATCAGTTATCAGCAATTCCCAGGCTAGAGCTGACCCGTCACCCAGTTCTTTTAGGGAAGTTTTTAAAAGTACTGTGTGGTCTCTCACAATCAAACATTGATAATCCTTAGACTTATATATTGAAGAAAATGTTTCTGCAAGCCATTGGATTCAAGGGGTTCATCTGTTGCTCTATTAAGAGTATTACAATAGCCATAAAGAAATAAAGGAGTCTTCTCTGTCTACTGCTAAATGAGCTGTAGATGTGTTGCTCCATTTAGTGTTGCTGTAGCAAAGTACCTGAAGCTGGGTAACTTACAAAGTTAAAACTTTGATTTGGGTCACTGTTCTACTGCCTGGAACGTCCAAACTGCATGGCACTGTTGTCTGGCAGGGTTCCCTAGCTATAAATCACAACCTGGTAGGAAGTGGAAAGGGAACTGGCAGCATAAAGTAGGGGCCAAGCACGTGGTGGTCTTGCCTTGTAATAGTCTGTTCTCACAAGAACTAACCTGGTTACACAAAACCTACTCCTAAATGGGCACTAATCCCTCTCGGGTAGGGTCCCTGTGTCCTGACTGTCTCTCAGTAGGCCCCCTTGTACAGGCTCACCACTTCACGCTTCCGGCACGGGAAACTTTGGGGGATAAACCATTGCATTAGGTGTGACTGATAGGTGATGATCCTTATAACTAAATCACCGTATACAACAACATCTAACTTCATATACCACAAATTACAGAAGGTATAAGGATGTGTGTACATTACAGCCCTGTCCAAGAACCAGAATTTTTGTTTGTTGTTACTAATTATTAATAATTTGGCCTCAAGGATTACAATTTGGATATGCTAGTAAATGATTTAAACACCCAAATGATAAGAATCAAGTACTTGTTAGACGTGGGAAGCAAACCATTTTGATAGTAAGGCTATGCATTATATTTTCAACATTGCATCATTGGCTGTTCAAAACTGAGGCCACTCAACACCTACGTCATTAACTACCTTTGCAGAGCTTGTCAGGAAATGGGAAACACAAGCCCTCATGATTATTGTTGCAGTTTTGTAAGGAGTTAAACAGAATTAGAAATTACAGTTTCAGTGCACTTCAGCTTTTTATGTAGTATGTAATTGGGGCCAGCATTATTTAGAAGGGTAGAAAGGTATGCCTGGGTAAACCCACAAAACTCGGTCATGTGAGATGGATATGGTAGAGAAAATGGCATTCTGGAGAAAGAAGTGCTTTTAAAGGCATTTCCAAAGGAGTAGCGAGTGGTTTTTTTCCCACGATGCCCCAGAAGGCCAAGTATATATGGTTTTTGCAGTTCCTGTGGCTGTGTCCATTGAGGCACAGTTAACTGTTTCCAAAGCTCTTTTCTTCTGCCCACCATGTTAGCTTTACTGCTCTTTGGCCTGCTGTGTGCTTGGTTTTCCTTCTTTGTAAGATGATAATCAGATGTCCTGACCTGTCCTAGTGTTTAGAATCTGTCTTACTAGATAAGTTGTTAGGCTACAGCAGAGACTTATCACCTTCCTCTTGAACAACTGAACACAGTATTTGAAAAGAAAATCTCTACTTTGTGATCTTTTCACATTGTCTGGTCCCTCAGAGTCATGAGTATGGTGGCCTCGTGATTGCACTTCCAGTGTATGCGAGACACTGCTGCAGTGCTCCCATGTCCTGCAGACAGAGATGTCAGTGTTTCCTGTGACTCCTTTCTTCTCCCAAATGTCCTCTCAGTGTCGAGGCAGCCCAGGGATTCAGCCACATACCCTTTCTATTACCTCTTTAGACTGTGATAAAATGCATATGACAGGAGTTACCCTTTTAGCCATTTTTAAGTATACAGTTTGGTAATATTTAGAACATTTGTGTTAAGGCACCTTCTTGACCATAGCTATGCCATGTTGAAGTCTAGGCTGACTCTAGCCTCTGAAACTAAATAGCAGTTGTCCCAGGGTATGGGAACATGTCAGCAGGTCCTCAATTGCCTTGAGAACAGGTCAGTATGTTCCTGAGTGCACCTGCTAACTGCAGATCTATGGTTTCTACAGTTGTGCTTGGCTTGCTTTGCAAAATAGTAATTGTTGTTTAATAGAATAGAAATTGTTAGGGGGGCTTTCCACCTCTAAGCTTGGAAACTTAAACTTTCACCCCTGGATGTAGTTTTTCTGTATAAAAGCTTACCCTAGAAATGGTTCAAGACAGCACTTGGGAACAGCTTGCCTAGTATAGTCACCGGCCAGCTAGAAAAATATAAAAGGCTTTCATTTGGCAAACTTTTTTGTCTGTGTGGTCTTCTCTGGTGAACCAACATCACAACACATTCACATTGTTTGGTAACTGTCACCATATCCATTTGCAGAGTACCTCACACAATCCCCATAATTTTTAAAGATGTGTTCTCCTGATGTATAATTTATATGCTATAAAATGTACATGCTTTAAGTGAAAATACTGATGAATGTTGACAAGTCTATACATCAAACCAAGACAAAAGACTTCCCTTGAATTCCCTTGTGTACAGTCCCTGGAACTCTGGCCCAGGCAGCCGGTGACTATAGAAGTTGGTCTGGATTATATTTCTAGTTTCATAGGATCCAGAAGCAGTACAGTCCCTCTAGTTTCATCCGTCCTTTAACTCTCGTATTTTCCCCTTCTGGTTCTGTTTACTCACTTTCTAATTGCTTAGCCACATTCAAGAGTTTCTAGGTATCACCGTGAGGCAGAACCTTCCAATTTTTACTGTAGTTTTTTTTCTGCAAAAGGAAAACAAACCAACATTTCTTTTTCTTCCTTTTCAGTGTTGGAGCCTGGAAATAATTCCAAAATACCACCTCCAAAACAGCATGTTTGTGAAGTTGAATCACCACAGTGGGCGATGACAGAAAACCTCACGAGTCATGATCTTGAGTGCCAAAGTTTCCGAGATGCCTGGGATTGCAAAAGCCAGTTTGACAGACAACCAGGAAATCCAGACAGACATTTCAGTCAAATGTTAATCAGTAATGAAGATACTTTAAACCGGCAAGCATCTCTTACTTTATATCAGAAAATTCATAGTGGAGGAAAGCCCTGTGGATACAATAAATGTAGAAAAGGCTTCTGGCAAGAAGAATTCCTTGTGAATCCAGGAATTCATACTAATGAGAAACCCTACAAATGTAAAGAGTGTGGGAAGGCCTTTAAATATGGTTCACGGCTCGTTCAACATGAGAACATTCATTCCGGCAAGAAGCCCTATGAATGTAAAGAATGTGGGAAGGCCTTCAATTCTGGTTCAAATTTCATACAGCACCAGAGAGTTCACACTGGCGAGAAACCTTATGAATGTAAAGATTGTGCAAAAGCCTTTAGTCGAAGCTCGCAGTTGATTGAGCATCAGCGAATTCATACAGGCGAGAAACCCTATCAATGTAAGGAGTGCGGCAAGGCCTTCAATCGGATCTCACATCTTAAAGTACATTACAGAATCCATACTGGTGAAAAACCCTATGTGTGCAAGGAATGTGGGAAGACCTTCAGTCATCGGTCTCAGCTGATTCAACATCAGACTCTTCACACTGGCCAGAAACTGTATGAATGTAAAGAATGTGGGAAGGCCTTTAATCAAGGGTCCACTCTTATTCGACATCAGAGGATTCATACAGGTGAGAAACCCTATGAATGTAAGGTGTGTGGCAAGACCTTTAGAGTGAACTCGCAACTCAAGCAACATCAGAGGATTCACACTGGAGAAAAACCCTACCAGTGTAAGGTATGTGGTAGGGCCTTTAAACGGGCCTCACATCTCACGGTGCATTACAGAGTTCACACGGGTGAGAAGCCATATGAATGTATGGGATGTGGGATGGCTTTCAGTCACTGCTCACAGCTGCTTCAACATCAGGAAGTTCATACTGAGGAAGAGCCCTATGAGAATGATGGAGGGAACATCAATCACAATTCAACGGCTGTTCAGCATCCAGAACTACATACAAGGGAAACACACGTGAATATAATAAATATGGAAAAACCATCTATCAGCACTTACCCGTTATTAATCATTAGGGAATTTATGTTGGCAAGCAATAATGTGAATGGAAATAAAGGGAAAAACCCATTAGCATAAGGCAGTCATAATTTGTGCCTCTCGGAGAGAGACTGGACAAATGAGACTAGCATCATTCAAGTGAGAACACCTCCATTCAGAGCTCATCGTTTATGTCAAAAACTTCGTATAAAATTTTATAATAAATTGTTTAGACCACAGTTATTAAAAAAAACACGCAGGGAAAGGTTGGAGAGAATTTTGTCTCCCTTATTCCAAATCACATTTTCTATTCAGAGTTTATTAATTTTAACAAGTCTACAGTCCTAGTTTTCTGGGCGAGGAAGCCAAATTACTCTTGTGTTAACAAGGAAGTAAGTCATGCAACACCATGTGTTGGTAATTGAAAAAGAATTGATAGTTTTACATGCTAAGAAAGGTAAGAGACAAAGCTATATCCAGAAGAATTAGAAAATTTTTGAGTTTGCAAGTTGTGGGTCGGGGTATGTGCAAGTGAGGGACATGGAGATCAGAAGACAGCTTTGTGGAGTTGGTTCTCTCCTTCCTTTATGTGGGTTCCAGAGACTGAACTCAGCAAGCACCTTCATCCACTGAGCCATCTCACCAACCTTACTAATTTTTTAAATTTAACTCGAGAATA